TCAAATATTGTGGCTTTTGCATGCAGACAGACAGAGAGTGTGCTTTCTGTCAAAGTGTTTTCTTTCAGATTTGAAAAACAACAACCCCTTCTCCTCTGCACAAAGTATATGGAGCAGATAACGAAAGGGGAGGGTGCAGGGAATGGAAGTTTCGGCGAGAAAAGCACTTCCACGAATTTTGTGCAAAAAAGGGCCGAGAGGCGAAAAATGTACAAAAGTTCTGAGCTGGAAGGAAACAAAAAACACAAACTTTTGTGTGTTTTTTATTCTTGCCTGCACAGAAATAATAATGGGAAGATCGGCATTCCTAGGCAAAAGTGCTTGGCATCAGCTTCAGCTTGTATGAAACCTTGAAACCTTGGATAACCGCAGGCTTCTAATGTTGTGATGCCTTTTACAACCTGGGCTATGAAAATCCATCTGTATTCCTTCACATTTACCTTTTCTTCTCATTCCTTGCCTCATGCACTTTGCACCTCTTTCTCCTGATACATGCACACAAGTTACTCAACATGTGCGCCTCCTCATGCATTTTATACAATGGGATGTTTTGCCTCGGGCTGCTGTTGAGATTATTTGGGAAGCTGTACATTTTATACAACGGGATGTTTTCAGGCTGCTGTTGAGATTATTTGGGAAGCTGTCTTTCCTGCAGTATGTTTGGTCTACCTTGTTGAATTGTCATGTCTCAAACATCCAGAAGCTGGCTGGAGACAATCTCAAGCAATGAGAAACCAAGGAAGGAGACTATGAGGATGGTGAGACCTATAATTCCAACATCATTCTTATGCGGGAATAAGAAGCCAGTTGTTTCCTTCTTTTTTGGTCAGGCAATTGTTAGTACTATTGGGAATAAGAAGCCAGTTGTTTCCTTTTTTGGTCAGGCAATTGTTAGTACTATTGACCAGATTTTTCACATTCTGAGAGCCTTTTTTTAATGCAAATGGTGCAAAGCTAGACACAAAACTACAGTGGCTGCTGCTTTACTGCATTGGTTTTTCAGAAGCAAGGGATGGGTTATTCTAATCTTTTGGATTGCTGTGTGGCTGCACATACCTTGCAGTTTAAAGACACTCATTTGGGGCAGAACCCTCTGGGCAAAGGGTAGAAACCTCATGGAATAAAGTGGTTCCTTTTCAAGTTCTTGTTCTGGAGACAAGAAATCTCTTTGAAATCAATTTTTCCACTATGGGCATTTAACATATGGAATGATAATCCTCAGCAGAGCAAGTGGACTCTAATGGTGCCATCTATGATTTGCCTACCATTTAAGAAATATATATTCTTCTGAACATTGTCCTAAATAATAGAATGGCCAATTCTATTGACAGTTATCTTAAGTGGTATATTTTACCGCCTTTTACATTTTATTATTATTGATTGGCTTTGTTATGTCCTGCAATGACTTCCCTTACTGAATCTCTTTGTTCTTCTTGTTTTCCTTTATAAATGGAAAGGGATTTATATATGTTCTTAAAAATAAAGTTCATGTCTTTCCCCCCAAAATGTATTTGTCCTATCCCTTACTGCAAGAGTTTTTATTGACCGATTGACGGATCAATCGATTGATTTAAAACCTTGATTGCCTTTCTACCCACCAGAAAAAGCAAGGAACCCTTTGAAAGAGTGAACATAAGCATGTTAAAATGGCTGAGGACCAACTGAACAGACACTAGATCAGATGTACCTGTGCTGAACCCTAACACTTCTCGGTCCAGGGAGGTAGGAAGTTACTAAGGATGACCCATCCATTGGACTAACTTTGGGCCAGCCTTGTGACTGTATCTCTGAACTGGAGTCTGGCATACGTCTGATCCTCTTCCGCTCTGCCTCTTCTCCCTTCCTTTTCTGACTCTTCTGCCAGCCAACAATTTGTTTCTTCCAGCAGATCTCTAACAAACATCAGGAGGCAAGTTATACGGCACAGGACACTTTCAGTTGTATCATAGAATAATGGAGTTGGAAGGGGCTTCTAAACCCATCTAATCCAACCCCTGTTCAAGGCAGGAATCCAAATTAAAGTAGATCTGATGGACGGTTGTCCAATTTTCTCTTGAAGGCCTCCAGCGTTGGAGCGCTCACTACCCCCCGAGGTCATGGATTCTATTGTCCTACTCTCCTATCTGTTAGGAAGTTTTTCCTGAGATTCAGCCAAGCCTATCTGTTAAGAGGTTTTACTTGAGATTCAGCCAAAATCTGGCTTCCGTTAGCTTGAGCCCATTATTTACATGTCCTGCCCTCTAGGATGATGGAGAACAGATCCTGCCCCTCCTCTGACTTGACAGCCTTTCAAATCTTTGAAAACTGCTCTCCTGTCTCTCTTCGGTCTTCTTGTCTCAAGGCTAAACATGCCCACTTTTTTCAAGTCCACTATAGCCAATGTATCTTTGCATAAGGATAACTGTTGGATAGCTCAGTGGTTTAGGTTGGGAGTTCGATTCCCCGCTGTGCTTCCTTGACAGGGGCTGGACTGGATGATCCATAGGGTCCCTTCCAGCTCTGCAGTTGTAGGATTGTAGATAGACTAAATAAACTAAAAGCAGACTAAAATCTCCATGAATATTCGTACCTATTCACCTACATACAGAAACATGTCCATGTTTCAATGTATGTTTTCTCTAAGGCAACCCTCTTCTGAAAACATTTCTTTTGACATGTCCCTTGGTACATGCAGTTTTGTTGAAATGTAGGTGCTTTTTTTCCTGCCACATCCCCCAATTTGTGTTGGTTCCGACTCAAGGTCTGGTTTGCAAAATGAGAAGTAGCAGGAAAAACCCCAAAGATCATGCCATTGGTTCAAGAACTGAAAATGAGGTCAATCCATATCAACGTGGGAGCTGAATGTGAATCAGCCTTCCACCGAAAGCATGTTTGCTGTGTGTTAAAATAAATAATAAATGCAGTGATGGATTTTTTATCCCCTCCAACCCTGAACAATATGGATAATTATTATCTCCAGTAATCCCAGCGCCACCCCTGACCATTCGCTGTGCCCTTCATTTGTATTCTGGAAGTAACATCATCCTCAGCTCAGAATCTCTCTGATCTTCATCTTTGGGCTACTGCCCTACACATAAATGAGGTTCTGCTCCTCCTTTTTCCTTCAGGGGAAGGCTTGTAAACAACAGAAAAACCGCAAATGTCCACGGTGGTGGAATGAGAAAAATCAACCCATGATGTGCAGGGTAGGAATAAAGTACCTGAGGGTCAGAGGTAGGGCAGGAAGAGATGTGCCCATTCCCACTCAATATACAGACTAGAGAGGGGCATGAAATGGAAAAAAATATGATTCATTTCAATGCAGGATTCATCAAGATTGACGAATCACAAATAACAAATTTACAGGTTTTTTCTGACGAATCAACGAATCCATTTGTCAATTCATTTTGTCTTTAAAGACCCATAAAATGGCCCCCAAAGCACTTTGACATGATGAAATCACAGAGAAGCTTTCTTTGAGTCTCCTCTATACGTCCTGCAAGTTGAATGACATTTGGTGTTTGGATGATCAAGTTATACACCCACAAAGTGTTTCCCACTCGAAAGTGCGCTTGAGCAGCTGGCTTAGGAAAATCTTCACCAAACTTGGAGTGATTCTGGAGGAGAATCCGAGGAATCTTCTCTGTGATTTTGGTGTCTCTGGGTGCCTGGGGGTGCCATTTTATAGCCCAACGAAGAGATGAATCAAAAATCATTGAAAGTTCATTGATTCTTATTCATCAGGGGAATATAAATTGATGAATTAGAGATTTTTGATGAATTTTAGACTAAAAATTGAGGGTCGTCTTATACACAGAAGTAAGCTGAGGAGAGAACAAAAACAAGTGAAGGGGAAAGCAGGGATCAAAGCGATCCTGCAGCGCTTTGATCCCTTTCCCCCTATACTTGCTAATCCCCACTTAGATTTCTTAATTTGGGATTAGAATAGTGGGGGGTGTCTTATACATGATTGTGTCTTATACATGGAAAAATATAGTATATTATTAAATGTACTTTTGGATGCTACACTTCCATCTGAAAATGTGGCTGGTCAATACTTAGACCCACAAAACAAGACTAGTGCGGGTTACTTTCCTTTAGGATTCCTCCGGCTGTGAGGATTCTGTAATTTATCTCTACTTGCTTTCCCCATCCTTTGAAAACCTATTTTCTGTTTATACCGCTTCCCTTGTTCTTTGTCTAAGATACATGGGAGAGCTGGCTATATGTAGAAGCTTATACTTGGCGAACGGTTGGGTGATGCTATTTTGCTTCGCAATCCATCACACTTTTGATGCAATCCATCAGGCCTTCTCCTCTACTGAAACCAATCCTAAATGTGTACCACTGAAATAATACTTATTTACTATTTGAATTTATAGCCCTATTCATCACCTTACAGTACCAGTGCAGGTTACATCTATATCAAGAAAACACGAAAAGCATCATTCACGCTAACTCCATACGCTTCTATTGTTTTATGTTTCCCAAGCCTGGCACCTTCTTAGGGATCCTCTTGGCTTAAATTTTAAATTCCCAGTGCTCTGTAATATAATTGATATATTAATAACGGGGATAATAGAGAATTTTGTTGGGCTGAACAGTCTTTACAAAGGCAATTCTCTCTCTCTTTTAAAATCTTCTGAGACTCTGAGAACAAAGGGTTCTAGCTGTGGAGCTAGAGGTTTGGAGTTCGATTCCCCCACTGGAAGTAGAGCCAGCCTGGGTGGCCTTGGGCCAGCTGCACCATCTGAAAACAGCCCCAGAAGAAGGGAAGGGTAAACCACTTCTCTACTTGGAAAAAACCTTTAAAAAAAGTCATTATAAGTCAGAATTGACCTGGTGGCACGTGTTGAGTATTGTTATGGAATCACAGCCAATACAAGAAGCATGTTTTGTATAACAGTACCAAGTCAGCTGCCACGTCATATGTCTGTCAAACTGAGACCCACCTTCTGCTTTTCCCATTGACCGGGGCCAGAGTCTCCCCAGATGGTCTCATGGTTCATTCTGTCTTTTAGGTGATGGTGTGCAAGAGGATCAGAAGGTGAAAACCCAGTGGCCACGATCGGCAGATGAACCGGGGGTGTACATGGCTCAAACAGGTAACAACCTTAGTCGGCGAAGGATGAGGAGGTGTTGATGGCCTGCGCAGCATCCTACCAGCCTGTCTTCAATGATGTTATGTGCTTGCCCCTTGGTCTTTTGTATTTGCTTCTTAACTCTTATGCAACAGGATGGGGTGGTTGAGTGCCCTGGGATGGGATTTTATCCATGCAGAATAACACCTACAAGGTAGGCGAAGACATTCTGTAAGGGGTTTGAAACAGGGACCCCAAATATTTACCACTTGCCAGGTACAGGGCTTTTTTAAAAGGGGGGAGATCATGCCTGGGGGAGAATGAGCTTCAAAAATTCTAGAACATTTTGTCATTAAGGTACTTGCCTGTCCCTGTCAACCATAAAACCAAGGTCCTTTCCCACACTCCACCAACCAGACAACCAATAGCTCAAGATTTTCTAGGACCATCTTTTTCCAGCACCAGTTTTTCTTCTGTGTGAATAAACCAAAGGTAGCCATTTTCTTTCTACTGGGAGCAATTCTTTTGCAAAGCCAATGGGTCTTAGTCCTCCATTCCAGATCAAGCTGCTTCAAAACACCATGCATTGCTGTAGGGACCCTTCTTCTTGCTAGGGAAATTCATCCCCATTCCTAGGTTACCTGATAGTTTCAGGGAAGCTCTGGGGCAACAGACAGGCTTGATGGAGTAGGATTCTATATCAGGATCTCTGTTTCTAGAAAAGTCCAGGGATTCATAGCCACTCCAGTACCTCCAAAATGGCTTTAAATGCTGGTGCTTCCATATCTCATGGGAGCATCATCTTCTCATCCACCCCTTTGGCCCTCTAAGTGCTGCCCAGGCAAAATTAAATGTACAGCTTCAAAGGACTCCCTCCTTTTTTAAAAAGAAACAAAAACAAAACACAAAACCTTAGTAATTCCAGGTAAAACTTTGGAAGACCCCAAGCCTTGGGAGGAAGGAGCGCTACAGTCTCTGAGCGAAAGCTGAGAAGCTCTTGCCTCTGATCAGCCGGTACCTTTTGCAAAGGTTTTTGGTCCCCCCCCCCAATGCTTCTGGCCAGCTCCCTCCCTCCGAGCCAATGTTTTCTTGGCCTTTCAGCTTATGAAGAGGCTTAATAAGCTTCCCTTCCAAAAAAAAAGGGAGTCTGTTCATGTTTTGAAATGCAGATAACAACATTTGCATCGCTGGCGTAATTAGTTTCTGAACCAGGTAATTATGCCGCCTGGCGACATTGCTAATTTTGACGAGGCTAGCGAAATCATCCCTAATTTTCGGGAAGACAAGTGGCATTTTTCAGAGTGCCAACGTGATGATGAATTTGACTGCCTGTTTCAGCAGACTCCGGGCTGCTCCCTGAGTTGTCTTCTCCGATGGTTTTTAACAGAGGTGGCTTGTAGGAGAGGCTGAGCCTTAGGGCTAAATGGGAAATTTGGGATTTCTGAATTCGGATTTAATTTTTTGCTCCCTAAAAGAAGTGTAGAACTGCTGGATAGCTCAGTGGTTGAGGCCTCTGGCTGTGGAGCCAGGCGTTGGGAGTTCGATTTCCCGCTGGGCCTCCTTGACAGGAGCTGGACTTAATGATCTCATAGGGTCCCTTCCAGCTCCGCAGCTAGAAGATTATTATTATTCATCAGGAGAAGAAAGGATTCTCTGGAAAAAAAACAATCATGCTGGGCAAGGTGGAAGGCATCAGGAAAAGAGGAAGACATAGGGTCCCTTCCAGCTCCGCTGTTCGAAGATTATTATTATTCATGGGTGACTTGACAGCACATAACAACCAAAGAAAAGTGTAGGATGCTATGACTTTATGACGGTGGTGTCGGTGGAGAATATTTATTATTGTTGCTCTCTAAAGGAAACCACCGGCTTGCATTTGCAAGGGCTGTGCAGGGCTATTGAGGACATTCTGGAGGCGGCTCATTCATAAGTTTGCCATAAGTCAGGGGTGATTTGACAGCACATAACAACCAAAGAAAAGTGTAGGATGCTATGACTTTATGACGGTGGTGTCGGTGGAGAATATTTATTATTGTTTATTTTATTTAAAATATTTTTACCCCGCCTTTCCCCTTGGAAAGGACTCAAAATCATTGAAAAGACTTCAACAGATGGTGATGAATGTGGCACAGAATGCTGAGAGCGTGATTCCCTTCTTTTTCCCCCTCTTTCAAAAGCCGGCCGCGCACCAGTTCAGGAAAAAGAAAAAAATGCCACATTAGAGTGGAAGATCATGCATTCGAAATAATTTTAACTTAACATTTTCAGCACTCTCCCATGGTAATCATCCTATGGGTGCCTATGGAATGATGCGGGGGCTTCTCGGCAAAACCCTGGTGACCAATGGCTACCGACAGGACTTTTCCCAACATGGATGTTAGTGCTAGAAATGCACTTTAAGCATCTTTCAAAGTGCAGCCAAAAGGAGAAATCCCTTCCACTTACCAAAGCAATGTCCGGTCATTTAACAAATGGATGCATATCGTTTAACTTTGCAAGCCATCCTGACCTTCAGTGGCATAAGTGAAGCAAAAGACAAGATTGAGAAATCCCGCTTCCCCGTCTGCCACTGTTACAAGCAATGGTGGATTTAAATGCTTTCCACCAGCCTTTCCTTGGCAGCGTACACCGAATCGTTATGGCAGACAGATCACATGCATTTTTTTGCAAAGGTTTCAGGAGAGCTGATGGAGTAATGGGGTAGGCATCACAGTCGGACAATTGGACTGTGCGTGGATTCATCCCATTTCCTCCACTGCAAAGTCATTGCTGTTATCCTGAGCGTTTAAGAGGTCTGCTTTATGTCCTTCTGGCAGATACTACGAGACCTTCTTCATAATTCCCAGCAGAAAACGGCATATGGGGGCCATCAATAAATAATTACAACCCATTGATCCGTTGCTGCTATTATTTCCATTATGAGATTTTTATGGGCCTGTGAAGAGGGTCTACTATACGGTGTGGAATTGTAGAGTTTATAACAGGATGCTGCAGGATAAATGTGGATTTATCACAGGATGCTGAGAATTTCTTGGATGGAGACGATTGTCAACTGAGAAGCACTAAAATAGATAAAGATCGAGAAATCAGAGAACACGTAAAATACCAGAAGCTGGAAATCTGTGGCCACATAATGAGAGAGAGAGAAATTTACAAATTATTAGAGATTGTCATCCAATGTTAAATACAAGGAGGGGAATGACTTGGTGGTTGTAAAAATGTAGACGTTGGATTGGATGCAATGTAGAATCATAGAATAAATGAGTTGGAAGGGTCCTGTAAGGCCATTGAGTCCAACCCCCTGCTCAAGGCAGGAATGCAAGTCAAAGAAGATCTGATAGATGGTTGTCCACTTTTCTCCAGCATTGGAGCGCTCACCACCTCCCAAGGTCATTGGTTCCATTGTCATACTGCTTTAACAGTTAAGAATGTTTTCCTGATATTCAGCTGAAATCTGGATTCCTGTAGTTTGAGCCCATTATTATGTGTCTCCCACTCTGGTATGAACGAGAACAAATCCTGTCCCTCCTCTGGATTATGACCTTCCAAGAGTGCTATCCTATCTCCCCTCCATCTTCTTTTCTCAAGGCTAAACCTGCCCAGTCCTTTCAGCCTTTCCTCCTCATAGGGCTTGGGTTCCAGTCCCCTGCTCCTCCTGGTTGCCCTCCTCTGATCTTGCTCCAATTGGTTGGCATCCTTCTCCAAGTGTGGTGTCCGGAACTGGGCACAGTATTCTAGATGAGGCCCAACCAGTGCTGAATAGAGTTGGACAAGTGCCTCACAGGATTTGGAGACTATACTTTTGTTAATCATTGTCTGGCGCTGCTGCGTCCTCAGTCAGAAGAGCCACAGTGAGCTGCAAGCTCCTGGCGAAAGAGGAGGAGACCGAAAAGAAGGAAAATTAAGTTGTCCCAAAGGTCTCAGGTGGACTAAGCTTGCTTTTTGCTCCAGCCAAGAGCATATTGTCCCTCCGTCTCTATGGTGAGGGTCGGCAATCTGTTCACTCTCCAGATGTGTCTGGTAGGCCTCCCTTAGCATCCATCACATCTGGCTATGTTACGTAGGGCTTTTGGCAATATCAGGAGGACCACCTTTGCTCTGTTCCAGTTTTGCTTATCCAACTAGTGGCCCATTTGCACTGTCTCAAAAAAAGAGAGAGAGAGAGAGACTCCAATGGAGGTGTTGAAACCTGGCCCTCCCCATCTGTCTTATCCTGCTTTTTGGTTGACACACTTTCCACCAGTTTAATGCCTAATTTCCATTCCCTTTTGATGAGGAACAGGGGATGCCTTCAGATGTCAGAGAACTTGGTGTTTGCCTTCTTTCTAGCAAGAGAGAGAGAGAGAGAGAGAGAGAGATCCCCCAGTTTTGCCAACGTGGACACCTTGGGCCAGTCTTCCCGCTGATCCTGTCTTGTTCCCTATCTACCATTTTTTTGAGTCAAGGGCCACACGGCCCCATCTTCTGGCTGGTAGCTCAGTCTGATCTGAGACACGCTATTCATCACCCGCTTCCCCTCTAGTTCTAATCATCACATGCAGTTTAATTAAGATGCAGCTTCCAATGACCGAGAAACCTGCATCTCATCTTCCATCCTTGTCAGTCCCCCGAGCGCCATCATTTGCATGGCGACAGAGAACTGAGATCAGGCACGCTCCCCCTGTCTTCCTCTAACCCCCTCCCAGTCCCTGGTGCGAGCTGAGTTTAATTTGCTCCATTTATGAGATCTCTTAGCACCTTCCTCGGAGACCGATAAAGAAAACAAATGTATTAATTGTTTAGCTCCCGTGTATTTATTTAGCAAATTCGTCTGGGTAATGTGAACGGCGTCCTCTTCCCCTCTCCACCACCCCTTCTCCTTGTCTTTGATTTATAGTCTCTGGGCCATTGTATGTATTGCTCAGAAAGACAAATGGAGCAGAGATTCAGGTGAGTTTAGGGAAATCAGCTAGGCCAGTTGTGCAAACACAGATAACTGCCAGCCTTTTTTCCATCTTGCTATCTAAGCTAGCAGGGTGTATTCA